TTTATTAAAGACATATTTTTTATGTTTAACGTTGTTATTTTATAGATACAAGTATTTAAGCAAATGCTCTGTTTATGATAAACAGTATTAAATAACATTTACCGGCCTGAATGTCCGAGAAATTTTCACAGAAAATATTCGTTCTCCGACAGATATAAACTACTTATTTACTCTTCTTATTTACTTTCACTCCCTGTAACTCACAGCGTTGTAGTGACATTCTCGCCTTCCGTATAGGATGCAGGTTCGAGTCCTGTCGGAGAACGAATATTTTCTGTGAAAATTTCTCGGACATTCAGGCCGGTAAATGTTATTTAATACTGTTTATCATAAACAGAGCATTTGCTTAAATACTTGTATCTATAAATAACAACGTTAAACATAAAATGTCTTTAATAAACATAAAAATGTCTTTAATAAATAAATTGTCGGACCTTGTCCATTTCTTAACATATATATATATATATATATATATATATATATATATATATATATATATATATTGAACAAATATGACAAATGAGAAAATATTTTATTGAAACTAGATTTGATTACTCGTTTCACCTTTCTAGGATTCATCAGATCCAAGAGCGGAAGTCAGGAATGAGCGCGCGCGCATGTTTTTATTCGTGTGTATGTTTAAATAATGAATCATTAGTATTTTTCCCCAAGCTGGCGTTTCTCGTAATGAAAGAAAAGAATGAAAATGAGTGACTTTTAAAAAAGTCGTTAATATTTATTTTGTATCTTTTCTTTATAATTCTTAGTTCATGTCGAAAGTTGTCCCAGCTTTTTTGTATCGAATTAAAGGTAAATCCTCATCTTATTACCAGAATGGCCCGAAAGCAAGAAATAAATATAGCCTTTTCTGAAATGAATCGGGTACATTCGATATTTATTGATTGTATTGATCAGCCTATTTACTTGACACGCTTTTACCTGTTTTCTTAAAGAATAAAACACATAAAAATATGTTTTCCTACACAGCTGTCAATCTTATTTCAAATGGCACCACAGAAAGAATCCAAGGATGTGAGGTCTCAGTGGCTAGACAAGAGGACCTATCCATTAACCCATATGGTGCGCGACTTTTGTCTCGCTCTTTAAATCTAGACAACTTGCCATCCCAACTACAGGAATTTAAGCATGCTACTAGATTGGCGGATAGTTCTCACTGTTTTATTGTCGAAGTAACTACAGTGTAACCCGGATATAAGAGACCCGGATATAAGAGAAACCCGGTTATAAGAGAGATTTTATCTGGTCCCAAATTAGAGCCTGTGTTAATGTATATAAAATAGACCAAACCCGGATATAAGAGAAACCGGATATAAGAGAGTTCTTCTCCGGTCCCGACAACTCTCTTATATCCGGGTTACACTGTAGATGCAACCGTCATTTTTACGCTGACAGTTTTTTTTTTCTCTCGCGCTTCCCCGACATAAAACTCCCTTCCGAATACTTGCTTCCCTTTATTCAAAAATTTAAATGTAACGTCAGTCACCAAATTCTGACTTTTTGTAACCCGTTCCTTTTTTTCCCCATTCCTCAATCCCCACCATTTTTAATCTTTTTCTTCTTATTTCCTTTCACTCCCTGTAACTCACAGCGTTGTAGTGACATTCTCGCCTTCTTTGGAGTTAAATGATAAAATAAATCCGTGATCTCAAGCTGCATCCATTTTTTATTTATCAAACACGTAATCCAAGGAAAAGTCTAAAAAGCCGTAAATGTAGAAGGTTATTGAACGAGGTTGTAGTCGGAACTTATAAAGACGAGCTATGAAGTACAGATAATAAAGATATCTAGGATAGATATGGGTTGATTCTAGACTTGACGAGGCTATAGCTATCTAGGAAGCATTCCCTCGGGAGTCACATCCACAGAATATCCGTTCTGGAGAAGAAGCTGTCCGAATGAATCTTTCAGTATTATGAACGGAATTGGGATCATTTTTGCACGTGTCATGGCGGATTAAAGCTAATGAATGTAGCACGCCAGAACATTTGCCATGGAAATAGCGATACAGTAGCGAGAGATTTGCGACGTTTCGTCTGTGGGATAGGGGTCATCGAGTGTAAAATAATCACCCACAAGGCCGCGTAGACGATTTTGAAATCTATCAAGGGTGGGAAGTAAGTGCCTTGACATACTACTATCTTGTGACTTTTGGTACATAAGTAGAGAGAGAGAGAGAGAGAGAGAGAGAGAGAGAGAGAGAGAGAGAGAGAGAGAGAAATCTACCATATATATATATGTATATATATATATATATATATGGGTTGTCGGTTTCTAGGAACTGAGCTGCTTAAACCTCATACAACGAATACGACGGGAGAGTCCACTATATATATATATATATATATATATATATATATATATATATATATAGAGAGAGAGAGAGAGAGATTATATATCTTAATGTTCTTTCTTTATATATATATATATAGAGAGAGAGAGAGAGAGAGAGAAAAAAATCTACCATATATATATATATATATATATATATATATATATATATATATATATATATATATATATATATATCTATAGTAAAAATCTACCAGATATATATATATATATATATATATATATATATATATATATATATATGGTAGATTTTCTCTCTCTCTTATATATATATATATATATATATATATATATATATATATATATATAAGAACATTAAGATATATAATCCGTGTTCTTATAGATATTTTTATTTTTACAAAATAGTGCTCAATGTAAATTTACAGAGCATTTATATTATAACTTAATTGATTTAAAATATGGTTTTTTTGAGCTACACAGTTCTAACCATGTTTCAAAAATGGAAGCTAAAAGCTTCGAATTTAATTTTGTAATTAAATTAAAGACATTAGTTCCATTTCATCCTCAAGCGAATATATATATATATATATATATATATATATATATATATATATATATATATATATATATATTGATGCATGTTTCATTAAATGATATAGATAAGTTTTGTCTATTTATTTTAAGTAAATTCCTTTCATATTGTCTGATAAGCTTAATAACATGATCATTAAAAGACGAAAGAAAATCACCATATTGATACATGCTTTTTTAATCCTATCTAAGCTTTTGGCTTACATAAGCCATTATCAAAGATGACAATTACGTTACAATATATCAAACAATACACGGACAAGACAATAATGATAGTCTGTTTTTGTTGCATGAAAAATTTCCCAGCAACGACAAACTCGTGAATGCAGCTCGTGACGTCACACATGACCACACGAGAGTGAAAACCAGAAGTATTAAGTATGGGAAATCGTTGATATAAACCAATGGCTTCTGTTACCAATTATAGACATTTAAGAATATTTGTGGAGATTTCATAGTTTATTTTGTTCATGTTAGGTTTCAACTGTTTTATGTATATAGCTTCAAGGATTTTTAGTTTTTGTTTTTCAACGAGGATTTTCCGGAATTGTGTATGTGGCCAGGCATATGGTTTTAAATGCCTAACAATGTTAAAATTATCATTCAAATATAGAGTCAAGCGTAGTGAAAGCGAGTTTGTGATGTGACCAACATAAATATTATTTAATCCATTGGAGATACAATCTCCCAAAGGACATTTGAATTTGTAAACTGTTGGTATTTTGCAAATCACTAACGTGGGGGTGGAATCATTGCGAATAATTGAGTTAGATATATTAGTACTTGATTTAGTGTAGTATATGTTTAACTTAATTTTTTCGCTCTGATATATATATATATATATATATATATATATATATATATATATTATTTATAAAAAAATTATAACATAAGTATGTTATAAAATCACTACAAAAATAGCCATTTTGTTTCAACACACTCCGTGTCTTATCAAGTGATGATGTTGAAGATATATATATATACTCCTTATCCATACCAAACGAAAAAATGTAAGAATATTAGAAAAACTAAATGAAAAATTCATCAAATCTTCTTTGTCTGTCATATTATTCAACGAAACATGTTTGAAAAAAAGGTTGTTGCCTAAAGGACAATAAAATAAAAGAAACTCGAGAGATAAAAAATTAAAAAAAAATAATTATAATAATAATAAAGATAATAATTTTCTTTGATTTTTTTACAAAACAAAATACCTTCAGAAACTACATTGAAAAATAATAACGTTATTACCAAGTATTAAACACACGCTTAAACATTACATTACATTGCTATCTTTCTTTGGATCCCATCTTAAATAACCTAACTTATATCCACATCTCATACAATGAATGCACCCCTAAAAACGCGAGGCATAAAATCAGAACCCTGCGACTTCCCTTGCGAAAGTGGTTCGCAAAAAGGGGTAGATAAAAAAAAACCCTACTTGAAAGACAAACGCACACAATTACAAATACACATTTCTTTTCGTTGCCCACTTAAACATACAAAATTCTACACAAAGAATTTTCCAGGATTTTAATACACGTGACATGTGTCTGACCAATGAGAACTGACCAAAACATAATTGAAAAAATCAGTATTGCTCTCTCCTCTCTCTCTCTCTCTATATATATATATATATATATATAAAGAGAGGGGTGAGGTTCTAAAAAATAGTTATACAACTAGTAATATTCATTTAATACGTTTTGTTTTATATCATTGTATACCTACTTACGCAGCCCCCCCTGTATATGTGTGTGAGTGTCTGAGTGTGTGTGTGTGTGTGTGTGTGCGCGCGTATGTCAGAACAAAATTTCTGAATCGAATATTAATTACTTAAAACAATGTTTTTAGATGCTACTTTTGTTTTTAATAATCGAGAATTATCTGATGGAAAGATATTTGTATATACTATCGCCTTTCATTCGCCGAATATTTATGTATCTGACAAGCAAAGCTAAGGTCGTTCTTGTGCCACACTTGGTATCTATCTATCTCTCTCTCTCTCTATATATATATATATATATATATGTATGTGTGTGTGTGTGGCAAGATTCAAATGGCAGGCGGTTAAAATGCTACACTGGCCATATCTATCTATCTATCTATCTATCTATCTATCTATCTATCTATCTATCTACCGTTCGATCTATCTATCTATCTATCTATCTGAGGCGATTCACATGCTACACTTGGCATATCTATCTATCTATCTATCTATCTATCTATCTATCTATCTATCTATCTATATATATATATGTGTGTGTGTGTGTGTGACAAGATTCAAATGGCAGGCGGTTAAAATGCCACATTGGCCATATAATCTATCTATCTATCTATCTATGGGGATTCACATAACACATTTGGTATATCTATCTATCTATTTATCTATCTATCTATCTATGGGGATTCTCATGCCACATTTGGTATATCTATCTATCTATGGGGATTCACATGCCACATTTGGTATATCTATCTATCTATCTATCTATCTATGGGGATTCACATACCACATTTGGTATATCTATCTATCTATCTATCTATGGGGATTCACATGCCACATTTGGTATATCTATCTATCTATCTATCTATCTATCTATCTATCTATCTATCTATCTATGGATTCACATGCCACATTTGGTATATCTATCTATCTATCTATCTATCTATCTATCTATCTATCTATCTATGGGGATTCACATACCACATTTGGTATATCTATCTATCTATCTATCTATGGGGATTCACATGCCACATTTGATCTATCTATCTATCTATCTATCTATCTATCTATCTATCTATCTATCTATCTGCATATATATTAACTTTTAATGTTTTGGACTGATTGTGTCTATCATCTGTTCTTCTAAACATTCAGCTCAGCTATGTAAGGCGAAGGATTGACATACCAAACCAGCCCGTATTCATTACAGTCCAATTTTCCAAAGCATTTCTTTTACTGGCTTTGCAGTTGTAATCGGCAGGTGCGTTTGTTTACGCGTCTCCTTATCTGGAGATGAACAGTGACGCGATGTCCGCCAGGGAATAAGTCACACAGTGAAGAGATAACAATAATGGCGCTTATTCATGCACTGGAGAGTGTAAAAAAGTGACGCTTCTCCAAGATTAACTGAGATAAAAGAAATCGAACACTCAACCCCTTTGGAGTGCTTATCACGAAATCTATGGATAAAGATTTTGATCCACACTAGGTGTTTAGTAAATTTGATTTCGCCGAAAAATAATTTAGTTGTTATTTATCAAATTTATCTTAGTCTGATACAAGGACACAAATAGGGCAGCCAGTGAGGTTCGAACTCACTGCTTATTAATAATGACCAACTAGATTATCTCAACGCACATTACTGCACACCTTTTTATGTCTCATGTCTCTTCAGGTCGTGAGCGATTTTGGTTCTCCACGACTTCCTATCCTTTACAGGCCTAAGGAATTTTTACCCCCTAAACCTCTTCCCCGCTAATTATATTTGGAATAACGTTCTATTTTCAGACGAATATTTTATTCGTTTTAATATAGTAAGTAAGAAACTGAGGTACCTTGAAGTACCCAAGCGGTGTCTAGCACCTCTACCAGATGAGTTGACAATTGGACTCGTTTTAAGCTCAGAAGGGCATAAAAAGAATCGAGATTTACTAAGAAACTGAGGTATCTTGAAACAACCAAGCGGTGGCTAGCACCTCTCCCAGACGTATGAGTTGGCAATGTGAGTCGTTTCAAGCACGGAAGCGCATAAAATGAATCAAGATCGCCCTATAAAAATGTCTGTAGCTTGTTTTTTGAACCTTATGTTTTGGACGTGTTTATTCGTCCATGTCTGAAAAGACACTTTCGGCAAAAACGTATATGTACGTCTACCCCAGTGAAGGGGTTATTAATCCAGTCCATATCCATACCTTTCCGCCCATTTATACAAGCTCGCAAGGTATGCTTCTCCCTCCCGCTAAGGTCCTCATTATAACTTGTGAATGCTAGATTTTTCCGAAACCACTTTCCTCATTACGTGAATCGTAACTCGGCCTCCGATTAACAATTACATCATTCGCACAGCCACGTTCACAGCACGAGCTATTCTCAAGCGGTCACCCATCTCGGTATTGACCAAAGTCGATGCTTTTTAAATAAGGTAATCGTAAGTGAACCAATGTTTCAACGCTATACGGCCGTACTTTTAGATTTACTTTATTCATCTTTAAATTTCTATTTCTCTTCCTATACTGGACATATTGGTTCGAATAATAATAATAATAATAATAATAACAAACAAAATGATTGACGTAACTCTTTCAATATTTTAAAGGAGACCGCTATTTAAGAAAAGAAAAAAAAAATGAAATAAATGGCACAGTTCGACCAATGCCAATGTTCGACAATATTCCGACACTACGTCTGCCTTCTTCAAATTATGTTTAAAAATTGTATACAAGTATAAAATATGAAAAAAAATCTACAAAAAATTATAAATCTTTATCCAAATGTTGTTTTTCTTGAAAAAAAAAAAAACACGGCTGTAGTGGTAATCAACGCGTCAAAACGAATGAAACGCAACCAACGTGAATGACATGCAATTGAAACGTGCCTACTAATATGATTATGAATGGTTAGAACGTTCGCTTTCTGACCATGAGACACGGGTTCGAATCTCACCATGGTCGATTTGTCAAAAAGGAGACTTGCTGATGTTATCCGACTGGTTCGAGTTCGATGCCAGTGTGCGGCATCTTTGGAAAATCATACCACGGGTTAACTCAAGCCTTGTGAGTGAAACTGGTTAGAAAATGGGCGATAGATGTGCTTGAGCATGATCAATTTGTAGGTCACGTTAGAAAACACGTTTTCTCTCAGAAACTGTAATTCGTTGCAGTATAAACCACAGATTGCACCATAAAACACGAATGTGCCTGAGCGAGCGTCTACAGTGGGAATTTGCTAGCCGACCTAACAGACGGGTATCCTCGAATGCGAGTGGCCAGTTATTATTAATATGATAGTGATCTTGCTCACCTTAGAATTTTCCGTTAGTTGATTAGCTGAATCCTCACCTTACTAACCTTTCTCTTAATAATAATTTTAAATGAATTCAGCAGACGATATTATTTCGTTTATAGGCACTAGACGTTTTGGCGATTGCTTTAGTCGTTTCCCGTCTGTCGATACTGTTCGTCTAAATAAAAATGTCTCATTTATCGCAGTCGTCATAGCCTCTCAGTCTTTTGACTGTGATCAAAGTGTAGTACCTGCCTTCGGGCGGATTTACTACATTTCATATCTCAGTTGTATCCGATTCTTCGGTCAGGGCGCACTCAGTTTGGTCTCTGTTTGCGGAAAGAGCAATTACCCACTGCAGATACTCCCCTTCGTTGCAGTGTGGGGTGATCGGTAGTAATACCGATGCAAGCGCAAGCGACGCTTGCCGGGGCCGGGCTATTTTTGAAACTGACCCAGTACATGCGGTCGTGTTCCCCACAAAAAATTGACCTTGTGTCATACGCTACCAGCGTGTGACGGCAAGAAAATGCAATTGCTTCTCGGGGCCTTTTGGCTAAGATCAAAATGTAGTATCTGTTCTTAGCTTGATCTGATTCTCTCTCTTTCTCCACTTCTATCTACCCTTATTTCTTTCTGTCATTTTCTCACTGAAATAAGTAGTATCGTTTCCCCTCTTTCCACAAGATCAAAACGGCCATTACTTATAAGGTATTGGCAAGGCGTAATGGTTGTGAGAACTAACAAAGTTTGGGACAAGGATAATTACAATGGGATACTAATAATGAGAAAAAACCTATTCAGTAATATAGGTAATATATCAGTAATATAACACATTAAATATAAATTAATATTCCTTTTTATTTGGCATCATTAATGGGAAGAATGGGTTTGATTTGAAATAGCAAAGGTTATTGAGATGTGTTGGAAAATTCATGAGTTCAAGTCGTAAGTCACCACGATTTATTTATTAATCATCTTTTAACCCCCAGACATTTAACGACGCCATTTTGTAAGCCTAGGGAATAATCGATCTGCTGGATTGTCCCATCGACTTCCAGAAGTCGATATTGATCCCCTTGCTGATCGCTGCTTTAAGGTGTATTTTTAAAATTTGATTTACAGACAAAACGAACAAAGCTAAATAACACAGTGCAACAGAAAAGTTCTCAGTCTGACCAAGAACCTTTACAATCATCAAAGTTTTTACTTTTGAGAATCAGGCCAGAGCATCCCGACACCTCTTCTAGCATCATTAAATTCTTATACCAAGTGTGGCATGTGAATCGCCTTAGATAGATAGATAGATAGATAGATAGATAGATAGATAGATAGATAGATAGATAGATGTGAACAAGCATAGATAGATAGATAGATAGATAGATAGATAGATACATAGCTGAGATAATGAACAGATGAGATAGATAGATAGATAGATAGATAGATAGATAGATAGATTACGAAGAGACTGGGATAGATAGATAGATAGATAGATAGATAGATAGATAGATAGATAGATAGATAGATAGATATGAACGGGCTGAGATAGATACATAGATAGATAGATAGATAGATAGATTACGAAGAGACTGGGATAGATAGATAGATAGATAGATAGATAGATAGATAAATAGATAGATAGATAGATAGATATGAACGGGCTGAGATAGATAGATAGATTACGAAGAGACTGGGATAGATAGATAGATAGATAGATAGATAGATAGATAGATAGATAGATATGAACGGGCTGAGATAGATAGATAGATAGATATATAGATAGATAGATAGATAGATAGATAGATAGATTACGAAGAGACTGGGATAAATAGATAGATAGATAGATAGATAGATAGATAGATAGATAGATAGATAGATATGAACGGGCTGAGATAGATAGATAGATAGATAGATAGATAGATAGATAGATAGATAGATAGATAGATAGATTACGAAGAGACTGGGATAGATAGATAGATAGATAGATATGAACGGGCTGAGATAGATAGATAGATAGATAGATAGATAGATAGATAGATTACGAAGAGACTGGGATAGATAGATAGATAGATAGATAGATAGATGGATAGATAGATATGGCCAGTGTGGCATTTTAACCGCCTGCCATTTGAAGTAAAGCCAAAATCGATCATGGCTCTCTACGGCTTCTTTTTATCTATTATCTGTGAATTGCTACATCTTGGCAAAGATAGTAAAGCATTTTTTCCAATGCCTTCTTCACGATTTTGAATTCAGCTTCTCCTAGACTGGTTGCCAATCAAATGCCACTAATTTAATCTGTAATGCTATGTTCTCTCACGACGATCAGGGTTTTTTACACAGATTCCTTTTATTTATTATCTGCGAATTACTACAACGTGTCACAGGAGTTGACTTTCGTGCAGTAAGTGGATTAATGTTCCTCTTTATTTTAAATGGGAGGACTTGCTCAATCCTGGGGATTCCAACCATGTGGCAGCACCTCCTCATTTAAGTAAGAGACGAAGGGTCGGTGTATTATCGAGGTCGTCACGGAGAATGGGTAAAAACATTGTTGTCATTGCCCCATATACATACGTGTACGAGCTCCCCACGTTAAAACGACCTTGTGTCACACCAGCTTTAGTTATTTGTTTGTTTTGTTTTACGGCATATCAATCTCAATGAGTTATTTAATGCCGACAATCTTTTTTGTTTGTAATTCTTTTTTTTCAAAAAATATATTGCCGGTAATATTTTTTTTTACAAAGTATTTCTGGTATTAAATCTATTTTTTCACTTTCATAATGTTTTGACCCCAGATTAGGGGTTAACTATTTG